GATTAAATTGATGGATGTGGGGAGGGCACGCTCGGCAGGACCCAAAATGTGGGACGATGATGGGAGATTAGTGACATCGTACAAAAGAAAAGCGATACGAGAAGCATTGAAATACATCGAAAACAACTAGGATTTTTGAAAGGCATACCAACTACACACGTAAGCAGGACGCACATGTAAACGGGACATACCAAGCACTCGAAACACGGCAAACCGATTTCGAATCATAAGTTACCGAAATGCGATGAAAAACCGTTTATATTTGTAATATAGGGTTGGGAACAAAGCGTCACGCCTTGCAAACTTTTATTTTCTAAGTAATAGGTAACACTAAAAAGACTACTTCTACACTCAACGGGCACTTGTAACTAACTTATCACCAAGGAATATTTTCCGCTCGCTGAAGCCCTCATCGACAAAATTATGTTCCAGTTCAGGTGAGTTCGGGAAACCGGGTTGGCCCTAGAAACTGTATATGAAAAAAAAAGACATGTTACTGGATAAGTCACAGGCCGCTTAAGCGTTCCCACTCGTATCCCCTTATAACCATGTTCCCAGGTCTACAAAGTGGTAAGAATCGAGAGCACATCCTTACCCTTGGCGAATACTTTATTTGGTACCACAAAGAGCATAGAATAAAATAAGGAATAACCACTACTGGGAGAGCTTTTCGAAGAACTGCAGTACGTTTCACACCCTAAGGAATGATGTTTAAAAGGTCCACCTACTAAAACCGGTCTAAATATTCCGGCAAGCCCATCAAAGAAGCTATGGTACGCTCTACGGAAAATATTTTTTCTGGTCCATTCCGGAACAGCGACAGGTTCACGAGGTGAAAGTTTCTGATCTTCGAGCCATTGCTTGCGAAGCGCTCTGTCTGTATCCGTCATCGGTTTGACTAGCCTTTCCCGTTCGGTAGGCAAAGGTTCAATATTAAACGGATAAAACGTTCCTCCTCGCTTTGTTCTCAGTTCCTTCATGAGTTCCTCTTTGTAAAGCTGTTTTTGCATTTCTATGATGGCATCATCCAACCTAGCCGACGACATGGCGATCCGCTCAAAAAAGCCAACTGCGTTTAATTGAAAACCACTCAATTAATATTAATATAAACAATATCAGTCTAATAAGCTGACAGAATATCACGAAACTGAACCCCAGTAGGTCTTTGATGGCGTTTTAGCTACTTATGAAGGCATATTATAAAAACGGAAGCTGCGATTTTTCACATATTTGATTTCTAAATAAGTAAAAATCAAAATATTGGGCAGATGAAAAAGTAATAATAAGTATTTAAAGTGACACAAACTAAGTTGCATGCAATATTACAATTCAAATTCATGTAAATGAAATTATTTGGTTACACGTTTTAAACGTAATAACTTTATCATTTCCCCTCCCAACATTCATGTTCTGTGAGGATTGGTGCAATTAATAACCAAATGTACAGAGGTCATATTTATGTTTCTAATGTATGCGAAGCACTAATAATTAGATCTTCGGCTGCGTAGAACGTCATTACTTAATCACAAGGTTAAATTAATTTTACACATTTTTTTGCTCACAATAAAATCGGTCGGATCGCTGTTTTATGACCACCAATTTACTTAGCACCTAGTATTTACTGACGATCTAGAAATTTGTTGCAAAATAAATAAGAACCTGCCATGATTTCTAGATTTTATTTTAATCATTTTGTTCAATTTCGATCGAATTTCGGAAAATAATTGTTACCTGCTGGTTTAGATGTAATCAAACAACTTTTATTTATGCCAATGATGGTTTTCTCTAAAATTAGTGGCAGTTGCACATTGTGTCAGCATCCTTTTAATAACTCTAATCTCTACACATAATTAAAACATTTTGCCAAGGCGAACATGTATTTAGCTTTAATCAAACCAACTTTGTAAGAACATTCTTGAAACAGATTTGTTATCATATTTTTTATTCAGGCACGCAAAGACTATCTTTATTAATGGATTCTAGACGCGGTCTTAGTGTTTTGTTCATTAAAGGATCAGACGCTATTTACATTCATAATTTACCATGACTTCCGCGGAACTATTGCAGAATACCCGAGCACTAGTATGAAGAAGACTGGTACAAAAGAACAGGCTTTATTGACCAATCATAAGCCAGAACCACACGTCAGGCGCCGTCCACCCGAGTTCACCACTCTGGCTACATCGATCATTATATACTGTGGTGTGGCGACGTCTGAGTGCGTAGACATATTGGGCTACGCTGGCCCTAGCTAATCCTCTGTCTCTCTGTGTTCCAATGGCGTGCGAGAAAGATAGGCACCCAAACAGAGGAAGACACGAATGAGGAGCAGTATATAATGAGCGGTGTGGCCAGCGTCGTGGACTCGGCTAGACGGCGCCTGACGGGTGGTTCTGGTTTGTGATTGGTCGATAGAGCCCGTTTTATTGAACCAGTCTTGTTCATACTTGGGCTCGGGTATTAAATAATACTGCTTCTTATTTGTATCTGTCTCTGATTCTCTACAAATCTTCCTCTCATGCCATTCGAATATAAAGAGGCAGAGAATTGGCTGAAGCCGGCGTTGTCCGATATGTCTGCGCCCCTATGTCTGCGTGGTAGTACCAATCAGAAATTTAATTTATACTTTATTACATAAACTCTGCCTTTACTATCTTTTCTGCATTAACTTGATAACTAGACAGGCAAATGTGTAATATTAAATAGTCTACTAACCTGGAGAATGAAGGTTAGCAATTTGCTAAACTCTTAATAGCATATTTTGGCAGGCGTTAGAATTGAGGCTATAATTTCTTCTGCATAATTTAAATGATCATTGTAATATAGGGAGGCCGAATTTCAGGCAGTGTTTTGCGATCAATTCAGTGTGTTGAAGTAATTCAAATAACAATTCAAAGAAAGAAAAAACCCAATAATTCTGGATAGCATCCACTTTCTTACATTCCAAACTTATGTTACAACGTTTTTCAGTTCAAAAGTATTATTTTATCAAGAGACTTGACTATCACTCCAACGTCATATATATTTACTAAAGCTTTGCATTTTCACAACGACGCCGTAGATTTTGTGGCGGAATGATCACAAATCTTGTTTTTCATGCAGTGTCTTGTTTCATGTCTGGCGGACTCATTGCCAATTATGTGAAATGTACCAGCATCTTGTATCCCGGAGACTATTACCAACTCCGAACCGCCGACTTTTAGAATAACGAAACTAGATTTACTTTTCACTGATCCGATAACAAATGGGACCCACATTTCATAGCTTTTATATGCCTGGATAACTGTAGTAGTGTTCTATTTAAATCCTTGAGTACCAAATATGTTTTGCATTATCACTTTCTTTTTGCATCTTTCCATTTTTATTATTAACACCAAAAACTGTACCATATTATAACTAAATCCACGTACACATTTCGACTAGGAATATCAGACGTGAGTCATGCTGATTGGTGGCCGGAAATGCACAGCGTGGGAGTTGCATTTGTTTAAACAACTACGAAACACATTGTTGCAAATTAATGCTTCGGTCTGACTTTAACGTCGAAAGTTGTTCTTGCTAACCACATGCAATAAAGAGACGAACCAATAATTTCAACACAGCTTTTTAACAGACAATGATCTCTTACAGGATAAATCCTCTCAGCTTGAGCGGTTTTTTTCGGACAGATTTTTGCCGATGTGTATCAGATTTGCACCTCTAAAGTTTTCCATATTTTGCCTTACATGCACTAAAACTGAAGTAGATCTATACGATGAAATTCAGCTAGATCTGCCACCGTCTGGTATTTTACTAGGCTGCAACACAAGTTTGTTCCAGTTTTCCACTGAATAGAGCTACCTTGTTTGAGAAAGAGTTGATGAAACCGCACGATCTGATAGATGACGATATCTAAGATTTGACAATCGCATACCATATGCAACTAATTTATAATTTATTAAGTAAGTCTTTCTGTGTTTTGTGACGTATTAAGTCAAAAATACGAAAATAGCTGTTAACTTCTTTTATGCTTTTAATCCCTGGTAACTCTAAGTAAGACTATTGATTGCAAAATGGGTTTAAAAGAACGAAGACTTAAGTGAAACCACTGTTCGGAAGTTTAAAGAAGCAAATTTATATCATAACCAGTGTCGTCAACATGTAGCCTTTACCAGGGCAGCGTTATAAAATACCCGTTCATTGATGTCCATGGAACCCAGTATTAAAACGTTGATAAAAATACGATATGACTGTGTGTTCAGCATCAGGAATCATTTGACACTGTCTGTGTGCCTATAAATGTAATGTGTCATTAAAAAGTAAGATCTCCACATGAAAACTGCATAAATCGTTTCATCTACTTTGGGAGTAAATGTACCGATAGATAGTCAATTATACATACCAGGTTGTTTACTTTTAACTGTTAGCGAACTCACTGGTCAATCGTATTCTGTCAGTTGAATGTTTAAAAGTACTTCTGCTTCGTTCATGGACTAATCATAATAAAACTCGATCATGTATTCTGCAGGTGCGGTTAGGTATAACTTGGCTGGATTGCGAACTTTGCACCCCACAAACTAACGCACGCATGGTTTTTTAATAATTAGTTGGCCTTAACGGACTTGCACTTTTTCAAACCAATTAAATTGGGGTTTCGGTAATGAAGTCGTAAAAATTTTTCAGCCAAGTTGAAAAATATTGAAACGTAAAAGTTGCGGATAAACTTTCGTCTTAATGCAAACAGTCTCTCCTCTAATTGCTGCATCGCTTTTTGTCAAATTGTCACGAGGCGAATGACGCAAGAAGGAGAATAAAGACGACTACCGTAAAAGACTTTTTTGAAACCTTTTGATACACTATAAAATCAGGAGATGAAAGTCAATAATTAGCTATTCGAATGTGGAACTTTTAAAAGAATGATCAGCGAGGAAGTTGCATGATTCAAGGCTACATTTTTCGTCATGTTTAAAACTGCCATAAAAGTCGTGCTGAGAAGTAGATTGCAGGGTCGTATAAGAAAGTCAAGTTGCTTGAGTCTGCAACCTCTTCGATGAAAGCGACTGCAGCTGTAAACACACGGCATGAAGAGGCCAAAGCGGTGACATAAATCGGTATGAAGCCCTCCATACCTTAGACTTAGGATGGAAGTCCAAAGGGCGATGCAAGTACCCCTCAAACTCATGCATTTAATCACAAGCTCTAAGAATTTTAAACAAAAGCATGGCATTATTAAAAAATCTAACACGGTATCTCTTTAGAGTCCAGCAATGCATTTGAATAACATGTTCCATATAGAATTCAATTTTTTTACAACCAAGCTTTAAAACTAAAAGTCCCTGCTCTTATTCCAAAGGAATTTGGTGTACCATTCGTGGTTAAGCCAGAAGTTGAAATTGCAACTCTTACATTTCCGATTAGCCTAATTACGTGTCCCTTTTCATCCGTAGTAGTGCGACCGCAAAAGCCTCTAAGACTGTAGCGTTTTGGTCGAGTCTAATTCACTGGTTACGGGCCAAAATGTAGCTATACTTGAAGCGAATTTTCTTTGTGGATTGATGTAGGAGGAAAGTCAGGAGGTGAAAAGTCAATAAAATATGTACACAGGCGAGCAAGTTTACAGAGTCAGGTTTGACGAATTGCGTGACGGCGGTACAAGGGCAGTGGTGGAGAGCTTTCACAATTTTCAGTGACAAGGTCGGTGGAATTCGTGGGGTCTCGATAAGCCGGTCGATCCCACTCCTCGCAAAAGACCTGCAGACGTCCGTGAATGCTCGCGAAGGAGGGTCGCGCGGTCTCATCTGCTGACCAGCACTCGAGCATCAGGTCGTAGAGCTCCGCAGGACAGCCTGGTGGAGAGGGCATTCGGTATCCCGCCTCAACTTGACGAAGCACCTCAGCATTGTGCATTCCGGGATAGGGGACCCGGCCGTAGGTCACAATCTCGGTTAGCAGAATACCGAAAGACCACACATCCGAGGCCGTTGTAAAACGAGAATAATTCGCTGCCTCGGGAGCAGTCCACTTAATGGGAAAACGGGCACCTGCATGAGCCACGTACTCTTGGTTCTGAAAAACAGTAATGGCAACAAAGTGATTACAATTTATCAGTAAAAATCAGTTGCTTCCTGCACCTCAAACCAAAACATGAGATAAAAGTTTTACTCGGTTAAAAAAATCTGATTTATGGTAGTCCAATGTGGTGTCCATAGTAACAGGAATATGTTTAGAGCAATTTAAAATTAGCAGCTGTTCCAAAATCAAGGTCTATAGGTTTCTTGTCTATAATTAGAATCAACCAGATAAAAGAATTACTTCTAACTATAACTTTACTGAAGCACATTGAAGAGCGACTCAGCAAGCAGTTACAACGTAGTTGAAAATTAGTACTATCTAAATCAAGGTAGATTTTTCCAACAATATCATTCCGGGATCAAAAGAATGTGGTTCCAGTGATGGTTGTGAGAGTCTTCGTTTGATCAATCAACGACATTTGCAATAAAAAGGATACGTAACCTGAACTGTCGAGAATGTCATTTGTAAGAATGTTATTTACACTGATGTACGTCTGAATAGATGGAAGAGGAAGTGAGTCAAAGATTTATGACTTAAATAGAAAAAGAGCTACAAAAATAAACTAAATTAAATACGACAGAGACTCTTCCGAAAACAGGCCTTTAACACAGCGAATGAACTTAGAATGAAATGTAACAATCCCTGCAACTTCGCATAAATGCAAGATTGTTTGTTCAGCCAGATTAAGCGACCTGGCAAAGAGAGATTACACAATCTGTGCCAGTTACCAGGGCAACACCTCGGTCCAATCAGACACTGGGAGCGACCGTCATATCTGGCCATCTACATTCAGAGCCCCATAATCCTCATCTCGTGTGAGGTGAAAATCGCTGTTAAACTGATTCCAAGTCCATCAGCACTTCCCATACCACTGCACCTCCAAGTACCCAAAGGGGTGGCTCACGGCCAGTTCAAGCGTCACCTCTAGAGGTGTGTTGTCCCATCCATTAAATCAATTTGTAGGACTATATGTAAGTTCGGCCAAAGTATAAAACCAGTAGTAGCACGTGTCCCCAAATCCAGGATCTTTTGATGAGTGCATGTCTTTGGTGCGGCTGGTCACGGGTTTAATCTTGATTGGGCGTCTTGAGAGGAAGTTAGTTAATCTCAGCAACCCAACTGCGCAGGAAGCCGATATGTGGTTTGCGTGTGGTAGAAAGTAGTCAGATGAATGTTGATATCATTGGAAGATTGATAAACTTGTTAATGCTACGTTCTTGTAGTGAATCTCGCTCAGACTAACCGCCCTTCCCTTGGCATGGCGCCATCTACCACGGGGACCTGTCTACCCATACACCCCTGTGGATACACAGCCCCCGCAACTCATTCCATTCCTTCGGCCTTTCCGCCACTTGTACTTTTAGAAGTTCGTCCAGACAGTATTGATCAACAGGTAGGTTGGGCCAACTAATAAACGGTTGTAGACTGTCTTCTTCGGTATCTGTGTGACACAGTAGTCAGTACAAAGCAACGGCGTGGTTTTCGACCACATTTTGGAGCTTTCAACAGTCTAATTCTTAAATTATTACTACCTTAGCAATACAGCCAACGTTGGAGCTCATTGCCAAATATTTAGTAGATTTCCTACCTGGAAATTGGTCTTCTCTCTGTCGCTTTGTAAGTAAAATAAGTGTGCGACGGCACTGCGTGGGAAGCCCCATAACCCTGCAAAGTAGTTGCCGCCTCGACATCAAAGAACATTCTTCTCATCTGCGCAATTCGCTTTCATTTGCAAAATTGAAGGCCTGCGGGTCATACGTAATTGACAAACATCCAAGACCCATTCATGGAAGATGAGGAAAGGTCATCTTAATTCTGGAGAGTGTTAGGCAATGCACGATATCCAACATCCACAACTACCGTCAAATGCCTTTCCATTTTACAAATTGACAGAGTAAAAATTAAGGCGAAAATTCAAAATCGTTCGGATGATTTGGAACCTAAATTCCCATCTATAAACGCCAGATCAGCTAATGTTCTATCACCCCTTTTATCCTAGGAGGAGCACCGGTATTGTTCAACAATGTTAGGTAGCAAGTAAACCAGGTTATTTACAGACCTAAATTTACAAAGGAGAATGTGCTCAATCATTAATCAATACAAATGATTACAGCGCGAAAAAGATTATGCGAGTGACGGAGATAAAGATAAAGCTGGGTGCTGCAACATTATGCCAAACAATATTTAAAGAAGCCAAATGAACAAACTAGTTTTGAATTAACACAAGGTTCCAAAATGCTTGTCAGACACATTGGAGGGAGCAAATCTTTGCATATTTTGCAGGTACACAGCATATTTTTATATTTCAGTGAATAGAGTGAACCAAAATTAACTCTCTTCCACTTCAAACACGACCAAAAACGTACATGAATCATTCGAGCCAATCCAAAGTCGCCTATCTTTACCACATTTCCAGCACCGACGAGACAGTTACGCGCGGCCAAGTCGCGATGGACGAACTGTTGGGATTCCAGGTAGGCCATTCCTGACGCGACCTGCACTGCAATGAGGACCAGACTGCAGATGTTCAAAGAGCGCCCCTCTGCGGACTGGAGGAAGTTGAGGAGAGAGCCTTTGGACATGAGCTCTGTGATGAGATAGAAGGGCGCCGACTGGGTGCACACGGCGTAGAGTTGGATCAAGTGGGGGTGGTGCAGCCTCTTCATGGTGTGGGCCTCCATCAGGAAGTCGCTAACGTTGCACAGATCTGAAGGAGAAGGTGGCTTTACAGTTCGACATAAGGGACTTAAACTGAATAGGAGTTCATCTACCGTGGGTAGGGAAACACGCTTGAAGGCACGGAATTCAAGTCAAGCCGAGGAAATTAGGTATCATTTGGTCTCGCACATCAATTAGACCACTGTAAAAGTTCGGTCATTGGGTTAGCAGAAGGTAAGTACAACAAAACTCACGCAGAGAGAACGATTACAGCTACATTGCATGTCCACTGACCTAAGGATAACCATGAATGAGTCTGCATAGGAACTCAAATAAGAATGATGACTCCTCTAATCAAGTTGAAATCTTCGAAACAAGAATTATCACAATATATGAACTTAGTGAGATTGCATTGTGCTCATTCCAATTTAAGAAATTTCTGGTATCCGTTTACCAGGAATGACGCCTTAAACTCTAACCATTTGACAGAAACACAGAAATAATTGTTTTTTATCATTAATTTTATCCATACTGTTACGAATACGTTAAAGTCTTGTAAAAGGTCTCAAGAAATACACTTGGTACAGATTTCACAAGCTGCAAATAAAGCAATAATTACGCTCGTGTTGTTTAACTAGTAGACATGTTCAATCAAAACATGTCATTTGATTCCATATTTTTGCAGCTTGCTAATCTAAAATAGTGATCTTTTTCCAATTGCCTGTTTATGATTTGTAAGTTAGACAAATAATTACTACGTAAGAAAGTGAGCTAATTTAAACTTCAAGTTAGTATCTCGTTGGTGAAAAATGAGAAGACGCTTCATTTTCAACAAAATTGTTTGTCAGTGATATTGCTTTTTGCAATGACAATCAAATTAATTGAATCGAGTTCTTTTAAAGCATTTCATGAGGTCACAAAATTCACAGGGAATTTGTCGTGCAATACAGAGCTAAGGGAGGGCAATTAGTCAAGTCCAAGAATACTTCCGCAGTCACGTTCTTTTTTGCACATTAAGTTGAGGTGGCACCAACGTAGCTTGTATCCACGTGGTGCATCAAAAAACAATTAATGCTCATTTGAAAAAAACTATCCGGATTGTACAAGTGTCATGAGCACCAGTTCAAGGGAATTTCGTTTATCGGCTTTGTAAGAGTTTATTGTATGTTTTGAGTGTGCGTGTTGGGATTTTAACACCATCTTCAAGCAACTTCATAGTCGCACAATGCCGGCAACGCATGTTTTCAGAGGCATTAAACTGAAAACCTGAAAAATGTTTAAAACCCATTGGGTAGCCCTGCTTACTTCAGGCTCCCTTTTTCAGACTTTTTCTGTCCCTCAGAAAGTGCTTCGTCTTACAGAATTATTACGGTTATTTATGTAACAGATACAAGCGACCACCGCGGGTTAATGACCGTGACAGGCCTACCGATTCCCCCCTTCAGAAGATACTCAACAGGGCGATTTCTTAGCAAAACAAAAATAAAAACTAAAATAACAATGGGGCGGGCGGGTTTTTTCAAGGTGTGCTGATGTTGTTCTCCCATTAAACTTGAGCCATTTTTTTAAAAATCTCACAATATGATGACGGACGTTACCAGAAATAGGTAGTGTGTTGCTTCCCTTTATTTGATAACATGGAAAACCAAACTTCGGCCATAAGACCCTTAAGACTAGATTTGGGGGCAGAATAGCATTTAATTTTAAAACACCACAAGTGAGACGCGTGTGTGCATTTGGGTTACTTGGAACAGATGATAGTTGCCATAGCAACTGTTGTGTGAGTACACAAAAATTGGCCTTTATAGTTGCATTAGTCCACAATACGTGAACTTCATTTTGGCAACACTCTAACTTCAGTAACTACATCTCCGGAGAGTTGAACCGGCGCGACAGGCACAGCTATGCTCTCAACATCTGCACCTATTTCGAACGCTTCCAATGCAGCGTTAATTTATGCTAAATGACGCTTTTGTATGTGTTTTGTTGCTAGGGTGATCAATTTCTATCCAATTCAATGCACCAAACGTTAACCGACTGCAAAATTCATTTTTAAACTCAGGATAACTCACTGTCACATCTTTTAAACCACGGGATGTGCTCAAGTATTTAGTTACAGTAGCAGTTAGAAGCCACTGTGCATCGCGATAGACGACAAAGTTCAATGGCTTTAAGGACCACTTGTAAACTCGGCAGATACCTCAATCAATAACAATGCTGAATTGGGAGTAACTTGAGCCTCTAACGTGAATTTTTCGTTTGTAACAACAGACTCCCGCACTAAATAGAGTAGCCAATGGGTTTCATTTGCCATGGATGTCAGGATATTCATACTCCCTTAATCATAACGGAAGCAGTATTGTCTACAGTGAAAAACATTCACGCTGTATTATCACTTGACACACGCGACTACCACTGACATTTCAGAAAGAAGTGTCTGTCGATGTAAGACACATCCCGAAGCGTTTTACCATCATTAAACAAACGAGAATTTGGGCGGTTCTAAGCCAAAGGGCACCGATTGTCAAAATCCTGAATCATTAAGTAGAACAATGCTTGCCAAATGCAAATGAGGTTCCGGAACACAGGGCCCAATGCCATTTGTCACAAAAACCGTAATCGGTCTGAAACGCTGACTGGGGGAAGATGATTATGTTCTGATTGACTAGAGTCAACTACTAAGTGTCCAAAGCGTCACTTGACTTTTTGAATTATCCAGGACATGTAAAATAGATGCCTGATCCTGCAATCTGTCTGTCGGACGGGATTTGATTCGTGAAAACTAGGTCGGACAATGCGGATAATAGCGAAAGCTCTGCAAACATACACACATATTTACACGCACTATTTGCCGAATTGTCGGTTATGGAAGCATAACGTTGATAGGGAAGACAAGAATTAGAATGCGTGAGAGTGATCTACCAATAATCACCAGAGCTCCAATTAGCATTCAACGAAGAAAGCAATGTGCAATGCTCAACATCATGTAATTTGTGGTTGCAATAGCATGATTTCTTCGCATTGGAATCATACGTGGTTTCAGTGTAAGTCACTCCTGGAAGTGTTGTGCCAACTTAATGCAAAACGAAAAACGGCATAGTTTTCTTCTGATTTCTCTTAAAACAATGAAAGCTTTAATGAAATTGACTGGTGTCGTGTCTGGTAGTACGTCACAGACAAAATAAATACATCTGACTTTAACTAGGGCCCATATATCACAAAAGAAGGTTTGTGTTGGTAAATCATAGCTACCACGCCCTTAACAAAAACTTCAAAAAGCGAACATTGGGCTGGATTGAAAACGCTTGAAGACCCTAAAAACCGAACTGTGGCTAGTTAGGGAGTGAACTGAGCCTAGAGAAATGCCAACCAAAGCAAAGAGATCGGCTTGGAAAATTGGACACTAAAAAGACCAACTCAAAGAGGAAACAATTAGGTGTGATTAATCTGCCTAGGTCGAATTACCTTACCGAATTCACACGGTCTAAAGTATAAACGATGTAAACACTTAAGCCATTTCAGCCAGGGCCGATTACGAAGACAATTGGACTCGACTTTGAACTATTCATTAACATCATTCTTCGTTCGATGTTAGTGGAAGAACTTGCCTTGACAGGAAATTAAAAGGCAACTAGAATGACCAAACTATCACTCAAAACGTATGCCGGATGCAATACATAAACCCCTACGCATTTGTTCCAGTTTGATTTCAGTATGCTCCGGCTCTTTGATCTTTCACAGATCTGTGTGTTAGTCATAATACATTTCGGGATTCTGCGTGACCTGTTTCTGGTTTTCGAAAGCATTAGCCAGCGGCAGAATTTGCCTTGGGCTCAAATATTAGAAACTGATCGTTAATTGAAACTTATAACCGTTAGTGAACTAAGGAGTTTCTAAAGAGGTAAAGATTTAAATGAAACGATGGGTCTTGACAACATTACCTGGTTCCAGAACAGCAACTTACGAAAGTGTAACAAAACGTAGCAGGAATACTTAGACAACGATAAAATCTCATCTCCCTGCAAGGCCTATCCTACTGATAGTCATGCAGTATTCTATCTCTAAAGGCATTTGTTGTGAATCGCGATGGTTCACACTCGTTAATCCGATCACTCTTGCCGCCATCACAGGGTCTCCCTTTTCGCAGCCTGTCGTCAGCCGCGCGGATCCTCAACTCCCTCCCATTGGCGCGAACGACTATCCTCACACCTAAGTCTCAATGTTAGCCCATCTATGATTCACACATTTGAGCTATAAACACACACGCGCAAACGCCACACACGACACCCACTTGGTTGAGCTCTAGAGTAAACGTTGGTGTCCTCGTCCTCTCCGGTCTTCTTCTACAACGTGGGTATCAGGGAGGCCTAATCTGGCCGGAGTCAACTCAGTAGCCCCGATGTGGTTCATGACCACATGCTGGAGCCCACAGCAATTAGTGATCTCGACGTGATGAACTTTTCTCCAAATCCCACAACAATCGGTGGCCCCATAACACATTCACTATTATTTTGGGTCCAAGAGATCGCGAACATTTCGATGTTCACAAAAGTAGGGTAATTTACTGTTATTCACGTGTACACACTCCGAAGACAGACTGCATCCTCGGTGAAAAAAAATTAAACAAATAAAGAGGCGTCTAGACCCAATACTACACCGAGTGACATGATCACTTTACTTCAGAATGACAGCTGTAACTGACCAGCCAGACAAAAACGAAGCCAGAAAGGAGTGTGGGAAGTCTTACAAACGACGTTCGCATCATGCCTGAACAGCGAATGGACTGCAACCAGAAATCCGGCCATAATTACTTAGGCACTCGACTCACGTACCTTTCCGCAAAACAGCAGTTTAACCTATCACAATTGCTACAACTGTTGGTAGAGAAGTTAAAAAATTTAAAAAAAAAGTTAAATTATGGAATGTTTTGCTAAAAAGGACTTTTACTTCCATTGCATCGTGTGTCCAAAATCAGGAAATTAAGATAGATAACAAATTCAGTGCAGATTTAGGTTACTTTTAATTTAGTCAAGTAAAACTAATTTCGTGAATATCAGAAATCCGGTGGAAAAAATAATTCATCATTCATCTGCTACTCACCACTCAAGTGTCAATTCATCTGTTTCACTTTTGATTGATCATGTGGCGAATGGGCTTCCCAGTGTGCATTTCGATGTGAAGCACTATTCACTTAGGGTGTAAAATTGTATGAGTAAACAGATGGATAATTAAGAAACAAAAACACATTCAATGCGACCTAAACTACTAGCCCCGTGAAACTTGAGGACATGAGCGTAATTACAAAACGCGGGTGGAATTGTATCGCTCGGGCAAAGTTCAAATCCGCTACACGTCGCATCAAAAACAGGCACTCGCTCACAATTCCTGAGTTTGGGTTTACGTGCTACCCTTGCTTTTCTTTGGCTGAACTTACACATGGCTCCACCAAATGACTTAATTATAGTCCATGGATAGGAAACTCTATAGATGGAGGGGACTCCTGAACTGGCCGTGAGCCATCTCCTTGGGTACTTGGAGGTGAAAGGGCATGCAAAGTGTTGGAGGACCTAGTCTCAGTTTAATAATATGGTTGTCTTTGTGGGCAAGTTGTAAATATTGGTGAGACTGGCCTGCCATTCGGTAAAATTGCGCCGTAAAGTGGCGCAACATCAAAAAACTAGTCTCAACATGATCTGCTCCTGACATGTTATGGTGATGTAATGAGAATATCTCATTTTTAGTGAATTAAAGTTCAAACATTTCAAACATGCAATTAGATTTAAAACAAACAGGGCACCTGAGGTAATCTCTAAATCCGATTTTGGAATTTCAGAGATCATTTTATGCCGCTTATGTATTACGTTTAACTCTAATCTGAAGTATGTCTTTTAATTTGGAATGTTTTTTTAAAACTATGATGAGAGTATGACAAGATCCTAACATAATTTCGAGAAATCCTTTTAAGGTAACCGCAAGTACAAAACGTCAGCAATTTTCCGATTTAATACCTGAAAAATAAGTTGTATGAGACACAAATAAGGATGCACAAATGCGGCAGAACCAAATTATTAACTAAATTATAGCAAACCGTCGACCACTCATGCTTCGGACACTTTCAGGTCAATTAGAGGTATTGTAAATTGTCGAGATGGAGAAGGAAGGAGAAAACTGAAATTACTCCAACATGATTCCTTGAAGCACTGCTTAGAAACTGCGCGAACTTGTTAAGGAAAGCAGTCATCGAGGAATCGCCGTTTAAAGAAATTGAATATTTAAATGGTCAGTTTCATATCAAAGTTTTGTAGATCATGGCACGTGGTTCTGGAAAAAGTATTTGCCTCTCCAACTAGACCGCTTTCAGGCACTTCACGGCAGGCCTTCCCCCAGAAGTATTTTTTGGGAGAACAGGCCCTATGAATTTCCCACGAAGAGGTGTACACACGTAAACATTACAAGTGTGAAGTAGCTGGGATAGTAACCCAAGTGCTGTGAGCCTCGATAATTGCGTTTCACTACAATCGCTACGATAGCACTGTACTCATGTGGGCATGTGTGTGGAGCTAATGAAATTATTTCGTCGCTCGACCAATGACGAAAAACAATAGCCTCCTCATTTTGTGCCTTATTAATCAAAAGACAACTTCAGATGAAGTTTGCATCCAATGAAACGATTCATTAATCATTTGTCGTCCGTCAAGCGTACTTTTATTGTCAAACAAATTGAGTAATTATTACGAGACTGAATTTCTCCACTTGTTCTTCTTGCATCTCAAATTGGTTTGGAAAACTCTCTTCACCAATCTGGCACACAATGGAACAAATTGTTTTCTATCAGTAAAGGAAATGCTTAATTGCTTCCAAACCAGTCCCACTAACATTTCTGCTAATTTTCAGATCAGATATCAAAAGGCGTGGTGTTCTTCTCAGGACGTGGAAAAAGGAGCGTCCTTTGCTACTAAAAATAGAAGGCCGTTACACGCGCGCAAAAGGTGATTCATCGGGGGCTCTAGCTTGCTCTGTAATGTATCTACATTGTGTGTGTGTGTGTGTGTGTGTGGACGTGGCGAAGTATTTTGCGCCCATAACATCCTCGGTAAAAAGCAAAGCAACCAATCCACTTCTAACTTTACTCCTTTACCAAGAACAACAAAGATGGTATATCTTACGGAAAAACTACACATGTAAATGATGAAGAAGAGTGTTCGATAATTACAAAGTCGTGCTTAGATATCATTCTCTTATGTTTATTATGCGTGGTTAGCACTTCAAAGAAGTTTGTGGGAGCCTCTAGTTTTCAAGTTTATCCCTTCCCTATAGTGATAGTTCCTTTTAGTAATAATGCAATAATTGCCAGCAGATTTGGGCATTTTATGTGTCTGGGAATTTCGTTGGGTTATTGTTGCGCCTAAATCCTCATTATGAGGCGTTTGCGTCATTTAGGTTTACTGGTGGCGAGTGCAATTAAATCTACAAAGCAAAACGTTTCGATTTCAGTCAAATGGACATGTACATGGCGACAGATGCTGTTTAATATATCTTTTACCCCGCGCACGGCATTAGAGTTCTGTGACTGGTCAGGTTATCAAGACGAGCATCGAGCTGGATAAATAGCTACAACCTCAGTAGCACGACTGGTACACGAGAAATCACCAACGTCGTGACACGCACTGCCTTTGTGAAGCTCACTTTGTGTCATTAAAGTAGCAAATGCGTCCATTAAATTACAGCCTGACTAAAGAGGATTCTAAAGTCATTTTAATTCAGTCACTTGCTTCCTTGACGTAAAGTGAACAACACCAGGTAGGTAAGCTGTTATTTATTGCATTCCATTCAACGACTACTAGACGAATTGGGCCTTCAATATCTGTTGGTTCTCTGTCAAACACCAGGTAACCAATGAGAAAGCAGAATTAGGACTAAATAGACGATGCCTAAATTAGAACTTCATTTGGACAAAATTAGTGTTAACGTGAGCCTGAAATTGTTTTGTTGACCATCGAGCATTAAGAATCAGGCCAAGGCAGGAAGTCTGGTGATATTACCTCGTTAAAAATCCATGAATAAGTTCAATCACCTTAACTGTTGGTAAGAAAAGGACGCTTTTTGAATACCGCTATTTCGGAGCATTCAATAAGGTCAGTACTATAGAAACGGGGATTTAATGATAGCATATCAGTTAATTTCGTGACCCCAGAAAACAGAAGTTCAATAAGTCTTCAAAATCGGGACAAACACGCTAGCAGAACATGAATGGCAAGTGGCAAAGTGACCAATTTTCAATTCGGTTACAGGTCGCACAGTATCATAATTAAACTCAATCAGCCTCCTTTTAGTGGGGAGTTGAACACAAAAATAAAAATGATACTTAAATTTTCTGACTATCAGCTCGAAGAAAGTCGAGAGCTTTCACTATTGGTGTCAACAGTTTTGTATAAAGAACCAGATCGAGCCTGGGAGTAATGGCATGATCACCAACTTGTTGAAATGCCTCAACAGCTGCTAACCCCCACTTTGCACACATTTGACCTTCTGGGAGAAATCAGGTGGCCTGGAGGTTCTATGTTTCACACACCAATGGATTATTAAACTTTCTTGCCATTTTCAACCGTTCTGAACACCGCCCATCTGCAAGACTTAGGAGGTACTTTTAAACTGACAAGATGAACACTTAAATCCCTTTCTTCTAGCATCCTTAAGTCATGTCGTATCCCATCGCAATCGAATCTGGTATCAATAATTGTTGATATATTGATTTTGAGCCATCTTATTTTAACTAAGCGTGCATATTCAGACAAATTGTCGTGCCTTGAATCAAGGTAGTGGATTACTGTCACGAAAGCAGTTACCCAACTTTGGATCCCAATTAGACAATCGATGGTTTTCAAGCAAGACAGGGTTTTTTCGATTCTGATTTGATAAGTTTTCTTGAGGTCCACTTAGTGGTTTGAATACTTGTGACCTGCGGGTATGGAGCTCGCTAGACGCAGCACCAGGATGGGCTGGCGGCGTCTCTTTGCTGCCAAGATTATTCTAGAACTCAATTGCACGAGTAAAAAATAGAATATGACGAAACAATAGAAGGCCTTTGAAGCCTAAAAAATAGAAACCACTTGTTCTGACAATAAAGCGATAGAATTATGTCAGCGTTTGACATTTTCGAATTAAAAATGAGAATACTTAAGCATTTCTAACGCAATCCTTCAGCGGATTCGTTACATCGTGTTTCAAAAGCGATTTGAAAGCATGCGATAGACGCAAGAAAATGAAGCACCGACGAGTATTCACGATGAGCAAAAAGGAATTCTTGCATAGATGGCATAAAAACACTCACTTGCACGTAGAGTTTTGACAGCGACCAAGGTCGTGCCATTCCAGACTGCCCTGTACACCTCACCGAACTGACCCTTACCGATGCGCTCCTTGAGGACCACGGAGGACTTTGGGATCTCCCACTTGTCCACCATGTTGTGCGAAAGACCAACTGGAACTGGTTGAGCAGGCTGCAAAGGCACGCAACATAGCAACATGAGAACACAACAAACCCCTTGAACCAGCGAGTGAGCCGAAAAATCACACCCCTCTCCTTTTCTGGAGAGATTTTATGCGTCAAATTACGAGTACAAATGTCTACTTTCAGGTGCGACTTTGGCAAAATGCATTCACTAAACTTTGTTGTTTTCCCCGCCACCTAAAATAATCATTCCATGTTAAACAATTAAAGTGCCTAGATTTGCCGAATGTCGTAGCAGATGCGAAAAATACGAGCTCAGTAGTTAAAGAGCTTTATCACCATATCTGGATGGGGATAAGTTTATGGCAAAAAAGACCATCTTTATTTATAATTCATCAGCTCAATCTAAAGCAGCAACTGGGTTTGCGAGGTAGTGCTATGAGCAGAAGGCTCGCCTCTAAAAGTGACATTTTGATTTTCCGTGGGGGGAAATAAAACTCCTCCCTAAAATATTGAATCTCATTCATGAATTTTGCAGCTGTAAATTCAACTTACGCTGAAAGGCTCCCGAAAGTTATTAGTCAAGCCTTAAATGGCGCAAAGCAGCATTTCAAACTGATGGAGACTACAATATACCACGAAAAGTGACAATAATAACAAGCCTCATTACCGGCATATTACAACGCAAATATTTCTCGTATTTCGCAAAACATTTTAATTCTGAAGTAGATTTCAAATTTGCCGTCTGCTGCCTTTCTTCATGCCTAACACTCATCAATTAGCGAATCCCGGATGAGTGCACTGGGAACTCTTAAGAATCCATTCAAAATTCCACTGAAATAGTCTTTTAACTGGCAATACAGCATTTGATTGAACGGTAAGAGTAATGTAAGTGCTGCAAATTATTTGTTGTGGATCACAAAAACGGTTTTATATGGGTTTGTTGTTTTCCTGGTAGCATTACAGTGTGACTAGGTTGGTGAATGTGAACAGATTTTTGTGTTTGCTGAGCGGCAAATGCAAATCCTATGCAAATATGGTAATGGCTGATGGAGGAAGACAGCTCATGTGAATGGTGACTGCGCCTCATAAACTACAAGGCTGTTTCCAGCAAAACGACCTCCTCAGTGTTGTAAAATGCATTGATTTCAAGTTGATTGGATAAACAAACACAGCAAAGACGAAAGAAAACCCAACACGATGAGTAGTCGGAGCTCTTACCTTGACCAAATCATAAGACAGTAAAGCTAACTCGATTCCGAACAAATTTCATGTCCTACGGGTGCGATGGTAGGTATCATAGTGGCTCTCAAGACCCAAGCGAGCTGTTCTCGCATGACCCTAGTACGAAGTTGTACCCTTCTCATATTGCTGTGTTGAGCAGTGTTCGTGAAATAATGCAATATTACGATGGTTTAGAATTGCATCTAACATACGCACGAAGTTTGTTCTCATAAATATCACCACGATATTCACGAAAGCAAACTGTTTGAAACAGCACTTTTGAACAGCTGCAAAACGAGCCGATTCGTGAAGACCCAGGATGATAATCCAACTGACACCTGGTTGGTTTTGCTACTTTTTGGCATCTCACATCATCGGTATTAATTTGATACGACGATGGTTGAGAAATAGGCCCGTGAGATGAACGGACTCCCTGCTGTCGAATTTACTCTCGGGCAAGCCTGAGCTCCGTGAATTGCTTTAAAAATCTAGTATCAGAACAGCTGTAATATTGCGTGTCTAAAATCAATTAGAACCCACCTCGAAGTAGACCTACAAGACAAATTTTATGTCCAGGACTGAGTAAGTCAAATAGACTATAAGATAAATGTCATTTGATGGAAAGAATCACATTTAAAGTTGCAGTCAGAGAAGACAAACGCAACTCGGTAAACACAGCAGACGCAGCTGAGTCATATTGGGAAACAGTGGGTGAGTAGGTGGTATCACGCACTTGCCACAAAGTTAGACTTTTGAGGTGTTCATTATATAAACTATAAACGACAGGCGTTAAGTAATTGCTTTAAAGTGTAGAGCAACGTGAAGTGTGACTAATTTTTACCGCCATCATAGAGTCCAATCATTTTTTGGGGTATCATAAGTTACCTAATTGGTCAGAACAACACTTTGCTGTTTAGGATAAGTAAGGAAAACATAATACGGGCCAAGGTAGACATGCTTAATTGTGTGCAGAAATTATCCTCTAGGCTATCATTAAAGCCATGAAGGAACATCATTTTCATTGCAGTTAGACAAGTTTTCGAAACAGCTTTAAGTTTGTCAAGTAAAATGATTACTGATTTTGAAACCATCGCATGGGAATCAGTTTTGAGATTTGACGCAAAAAACCTAGTCCGTGTCAATTAACCCTGCAGTCACCTTAATGTTCTTGAATCCTTAATTCTCACCTTAATGCACGGTGTGGTCAACTGGCAGCAGAGACCGGATTGGTTCTTCATATAGTGTTCAACTAATTGTTGGATGCTGGAGAAGGGAAGTTGACGTGAAATAAAGTACCGACGGACGTCAGCATTGCTTCGTGAGGCACGCGATCGTATTCGGTAGTGTTTGACGACATCACCGTCTCGAACTGCAAAAGAAAGGATTGGGCTGAATTCGCTTATCGGTAGAGGGCACGTACGTATGCTAATATCCAGCACAAAAAGTACCAACAAATAGACTAGAGAGGACAAACAAGTAAGCTCCATGACCGATCTTGCTAAATGTCTTTGTCGTGGGTGTGCGTTCATTTCAAAGGGCTGAAAAACGTTGTAGTAAGTCATGATGATTTATATCTATTAACCTGATCGCTGAATTCTCAAACTGGCTGCCCTCCCAGTTTCACTGAGTCCCTATCGATCGTGCGGGATCGTGTGTTTATACATCCCCTGTACATGTACCCCCATTCCCCACTACTCATTCCAGACATCTGGGCATTCAACCATTTGTACTTCTACTAACTCGCTCAGACTGTAATTATCAACAACTAGATGGAGCCCTCTAGTTAGCCGTCGTGTCTCCGCCATCGCCGGTCCTTTTTGTCTTTGCAGGTATCTGCATTGTTTATTCAGGCATATTCAATTGGCAGCCCCGGTGTAGTTGGAGATCGCCTGGCGGGGCCCATAACATGTTCGTTTCCTCTAAAAGGCGTTTCAAATTGTGAGAGCCTCCACAGGTTGTAATCAGAATAACATTAGCATCGCGCTGGACCGTGACAGAAATCTTCATGAGAAAATTACGTGCTCGACCACACCTGACTTCGTAAATGGGGACGAGGTTGCTTTAGTTAAGTCCCATCAATGGCGCACGGACTATTACAGTTAGTGGTTATCCAGATGTGTTCCCTTAGCACACATTTTTTGTTAACTAAAATTTCGTGAAAAAACGGCGAGTAGAGATCTTGCACCTTTTGTAAGAGCCATAATTCAGGAAAGTTGGGAGACCCTATCATTCCACCAATTTTAAAATCTCATTAAAATCTTAAAGTCGTAAGAAATCCTCGTGAAAGAGTTTGCTAATAGATGGAAGACGAATGGGTTGATGACACAGGATAGAGCGTCAGAAGAGCTGTGTTTGTTATAAAAGGCGTTTGATTCAACGTGGCTCAGCAAGCTAACAGAAGAATTTCAGCTGGGGTTGAATGAAAGGAAAGAGAAAGAAATGATAAAGGAAGTCACATTATATTGAGTCTTCAGACGTCAATTTCTGTTTCACCCTAAATGCGCTCATTAATCAGTTGCTGATTATCTAACCAAGTGATCATGATAACCACTAATCTACAATCGTACAGGGCAACCAACCTCTCACTGATTGCGTTACTTCAAAAAACCTACTGTGCGTGAATAGAGTGGACTGAATCGCGAGAAGCCGTTAGAGAATAAATAAAAAAACCCATTTATAAGAAAAACTGACCTGACTGTGGTTGACCGCGTGGTCTGTGTGAGAAACAGCAGCACTTCGCATTTTTAAGACCCTTCGTGTGGATGGTCTGATCGTCATTCGTGCAACTAGGTGCTTCAGCATAAAGCCCATTTCACTCTGCCATCTCTAAGCTAGCCTGGAAGCTTAGCTCCTGATTAACACAAGCTCAAAACGTCATCAGCTCTGACTGCTGTGGAACGTGGCTGCGTAATTTGGCTCTTGATATCTTTGCCTCATGCTATGCCTCTAGCTATGAGCCATGTTTAAACTAGTAGTCTGATAGAGTCGTTGCCAGATTCCCTGGAATAGAGGAAGAGCATTCCTGCACTGAATAGTCTGTAGTATTTTGCCAAAGCGTAATTCGAAAACATCGACATTCGCACACTCTATCATTTCAACATCATGGGCTGCCGAAAACAAAGTAATTAAAGCAGTGAGCAAATAAATTGCCCGATCAAAAGTGTTCATGTCGGTGCGTGGCAGGTTGCCTGAATGTGGTTAGCGGAACGCAGAAATTCGTTCAAACGACTTAAGGCTACTCAGAAATTGTAATTAAATGCCACTTTGAGATGATTCAGTTTACTTTAAACTACCGGAAGGGCGAAACCATTGAAGTACTTAACGAAAACCAACCTTCGTGGAAACGAGGGATTGCATAATCTGGGGCAAACCTACTTCAGTGACCACAATTTTTCTATCATTGAGGCCTGAGAAAAGTTGTCTTAGCTCACCCTCCCTTGGAATGTCTTACACACTTACGTGTATTGAGGACAAGCACGCAAAGGCGTTTCCTTTTGACTAACGTAGATTAATGGTCATCGCAAGTAAATCGGTGGGTGTGGGGTGATGGCGGATAGTGCAGGCTTTCACTGACCTGCTGGGCCTAGCGAAAATAAACCATCCAAGGACGTTGAGGATCTGGTGAGCAGTAAATACGAACGTGGAGTAAAATTCCACCTTGATACGCCTACCTCATTGTACACATCTGTTTATGAAAGCTAGCACTGAGGGCCTTTCTTGATCCCACAACTTAATATCTTGGTCTCATGTAGGGACTACCATTACGTAAACGCGAAATCGAAGCTGCAGCTCGCGTACAGAAAGCAGTCAAACGCAGTGAGCGAGGCAAAAGTGAATCCCAAAGCCCAACTTCAAAACGGTAACAACAAGTGCATTAGCTATATTCTTTTGTTCCACAAAGTACCTTTAGTCTGTTCGATTTAGAAAGCTTCAAAACTTCAAAGTTGTCAATGGTGTGTTTTCGACCATTTTATTAGTTTGGCAGAAATAGCGACTCAAAAAACTCACTCAAAGACATTCAACGGGAATTCCAACTCTCTTTTTTAAAAGAAAAACAGACATCGAATTTCACTTGGAAAATCGAAACCAATGACGCTCTAGTTTACATGCAGCAGACCAACATAAATTCTTTTAACGGATTTACATCGACAGTTTTCGTAGTCAGAACAATTGTCAATGCACCAACGATCAATGTAACGGCAATGGCCTTTGACCAATATCCTCGGACTTTCTTCATGATTTTTTGCCGAAAATCAGTCATTCGCCTTGTGTATAAGGTTGGCTACGAACGCCATAACGATCAAGGGGAACTCAGTGGTTGTTAAGCAAAAAGTTTGTGCTATCAAGTAAAAGCATGCCTCTGCCAAATACCGACATTTCTAACTCGCAGGAAACAAATCTATCCGTTTCTTAAAAAATTCAAAAATACTTTGTCACGGCAATTTTGGTTGATCAAGGTGTAAGTGAAAAAGTATTTAGAGTGATTGGGCTATACGCCGGGTGTTAGATTCAAAAAACGGATAAACAAAAATTACCCGAAAGAGAGTACTCCCCAGCCCTGGATTCGCTAACCCTGATCAGAAACGAGCCCTGGACGTTCCCAGACATCATGAGACAATTTTCAGCTTCCAGTCGTCGCATATTTCCGCAGTGCCACCTTAAAATCCAAAACCATAGGCAAGTTAGGTAACCGAACACTTGATTATGACAAAGTGATGGAAAAAGGCTGAGTTTTGAAGCAGTTTTGGTTCCCTATTAGTGGCAGAGGCAGGGGCCGAAATTCGTAAATGGCCACACCTTCATGCAGGATTCAACAGCTCTGTATAGCTGGAATGAGTCATGGTACCGATAAGCCTCTTGATGATGCTTACAAAAATTGTCCAATCAGCATCACCCTCAAGGGGGTCAACAGAAGATCAGGTCAAATTACCAAAAGGTCAGTTTTTGTTGAAAGGTCAACTAACCCAACGCACACATGAAAAAATATCCCTCGATGTTAGTGGAAGGTCAATTCAACAGATCTAGAAAACTCTCCTCGCATCGTCGTGTCCAAGATTTATAAGTCAGTTGTTTAACTGATACAAAAAACAGCAAATACTTTATGTTTAGTGACAAACAAAAGAGAACAAAACCGTAAATTCTTGTTATAATTATCATTATTGTTGTCTGGCCCAAAAATTAACCGTCTCGTTTCGCTAACCCTGACACCTTTAAAATCGCATCGCCAATTTGGTGCGAAAGTGTATTTACTAAAATCTCGTCGCACATTATGGCTTCGATTATTACATTAACTAATTTACACTAATTTAAACAGCAGTTTTGTTTACGAGCAAACTTTTCGTACTTACTTTGAATGCAAACTTTGAAATCGGACATGACACAACCCAAAAAACATCGGAAAAGCAAGCACATTGAGTGAAAAAAAAATATGTTTTGGGATTTCTTTACACCATTGCAGCAGGCATTAATTTCACTAAGGTGTTAGCAAGGATTGATCATTGTTAAAAATTTGACCTGATCTTGAGATGAGAATTGTTTCAATTGAACCGTTCCTGTATTTTTTAATTAAAGACAAAATTGGCAAAGCTGTCTTTACCAACAGACGTCCACTGCGAACATCCATCGCTAATTGTGGTGCTGCCTCAATGATGCGAAAAGTTCTGTTGCAAACATCCCTTTACGACAGGACGCGTTCGTGGCAAGTTACGTGAGTAAGTTTATTTATTGCCACCAAATGGATTATGGAAATATGCAAGAGCAGTTGCTAGTAGATCAAGGACGGATGCCACTGTTTTCTGACACACAGCCGAATGTGGGAGGTCGGAAGGGAATAAAGCGGAGCACTGAACAAAAGTTCCGCTTTCGATATCTATAGTTATGACAAAATTGAAAGCTGAAGACAGCATGGCTGCGACTGTCCTCGTATGTTTATTCATAAAAACATGGAAACTTTGAAGACGACCGGTTGAGCACTTGGTAAATTTTAAACTCAGTGCGTCGCTGGGTTGTCTTCAGTTTCGGTTCCCCCACTCTGGGGCACCACCTATAATTTCATTCTGGTAAGAAAAAATAATAGGCTCATCAGTGACCGTTTGATTATTCTGCTAGTATCAATGAATACTGAATTAACCTCTTGAGTTCAAACGCAGCAAGTTTAAACAAGACCAGAAAGGGGCGTAAGGGAAGTCGTTTCATGCAGTTCGCATTGCCATATTCAGCTCTGGCAGAAACAAAACATTTCCAACTTTATTTTAGAGATTTTGCATGCCTCAAATTCCATTTTAACGAGGAACGAATTCAACATAATACATTAACGTCATGAAAATTAAGGTCTTGACCGATGACATTACCAAAATCAATTATAAAAAGAAGACAGCGATGCCTTAAACTATCGAAACGTGTTAACCAATCGAAGATCTTACTCGTTGGATTCTAAACTAGTGACTGGGGCTAAGTAGTTGAAAGGCACGTAGCCCATTTTCCCAGTCGTGGCACATTTCGCGTACCACCAGTAGCCCTGGGAGCGGTCCACCACGTAGAAATGCTGACCCTTCAACATCGAGAGATCATCCTCGACACGAGCTGTGTAGTCGTGCAGAGCGACGTACTTCTGGCTTCGATGCGAGGGGTGCTCACGATGGTAAATCTCTCCAGCCGAGTGATTGTATATGGCAGAAGCGGGTGGAACATCCAGCGGACGAGCGGAGGTGGCCGCGACAGTCCAGTTGGCTGGAAGAGGTGGGTTCTGGCAAGCAGAAGTGGTTATCGCAGACGTTGTTGGAGCGACGGGGGTTGAGATGTAGGGTGTTGTTAGAAAGCGGCCAGGAACTGAGGATTGACGATTAATGTAGTTTGTTACGCCGTATGCACTTTTTTGAGGAGAAGCTTCGGGAGCGTTCAGAGGCGTTCGGTAATTTTTAGGTCGCTAAAATGATGAAATGCACTGACGCGTGTTCCTATTTGATGTACATTTAATGTGCTCAATACTTATGACATAAGCAGACGAAATATGGTGCGCCTAACTGCGTCTAAAACACTTTAATTTATTTTCCAAGTTCCTTTAGTGTCACAGACGAGAACGGAAAAAAAGTGAATTATCAAAATCAAATGAAGTAGGAAAACAAAATTTTATGACTTTTTAATAGTACAGAGGACAAGCAAAACTCAGATTTCGTAGTGATACGTTTTCTAAAAGTTTTTTTGGTAAAAGGTATAGTAGATGGCAGTCCTTGAAAAGCAGTAATATTTGAGTCAACTATGAACTGCCGATTTATGCGAACAAAAATTAGTAAAATTCCACATGGTGAGTCGAATAGAAGATACCTTCAACAGGTTCTAAACAAGTGGGATTCTTAGCCAGATTAACTCTTAAAAATCGTGATTTTTATAACCTAAATGACTAATGTGTGAGTTTCCACAAATAGAGCATTTGATACAGACAGGTGACACCCACTAATAGTAATATTAGGCCACAAGTGTTGAGATCAGTGCTTTACCTAACAATGCTTAGCTGCATCCTAAACCACGTAGTTTATTGCGCAAGCTAAAATATATGCGAACGTTGATCTTCAAGTCGGTAGTTTTGCACAACTTTGGCAGACAAAATTAGGGGCTCCAACACATGGCTATTCACTCGCATGTAAACTGGATAAATATGATGGCAGATTTGCGGAACCGGTCCCGTCAGTTGTGGGTTTTTAGTTAACGAATATGATAATTTGGACTAACTAGATAAAAAGAAGATTTACATTTGATTGTTAATAATTAATACGGTTAAAAGTAGCCACGGTATCATGCAAGACTATGAAAGCATTTTCCCTAGTCCAAGAATCCAAATATGTTTTGCTTAATTTCATTCTCAAAATTTCAAAGAGAGTAGCTTTTGCTGAATTAATGAAAGCACAAAAGATGACAAATCATCCTGTTTGCTAGGAAATTAAATTAATATAGAGATGAAAAGACGAAGAGACTGTAAAATATTGTACTTAAATGAAAATCGAAGGAGGTAAATTTGAAAATATGGACTTTTAGTGGACTGACAGCCGACCCGCGCGAGTGTGCGTGCATGAAGGCCCGTGTGTAGCGATGACTCATCCCCTTTTGTTATTGATTTTTGTCAGCATTCGCCTGTTACGCACGCGTACTCATACGCAGACAAAGTCGCTTGGTTGTTTTGACATCAATAAACCGGTCGTGTCCGCTCTCGCCTCTTCTCCACTCTACTCGAGTTGTCGTGGGCTGTTAATTAGAGGGTTGTAAGGTAGTGCTAAGATCAAGCTACTACAGACTTCCCTCCCTCGAAGTCACTGTGGCAACAGCAAGTAATGTTTTATACACCAACCAGAAAATACCCTAAGGTTAATAAACTAAAAGAATGCACAACTGTCCATATTTAATTACAAAGTGAGCGGCTTGTAGTCAATTTAAAGTTCTTAAGTAGCGTTAGATAAATGTGGATCTTCACGTCTGCATGAAACGATCTATATATTATAAAAATGCACATTTAGTAACATTGCATCAAGAAACATAAATGGTATTTGTTAAACATCTGGATGTAACTTATTATAAAACACATTTTTGTCAGGTAATGTAGTGCAAATAGGTTGCAAATTCCAATAACAAAATAATGTTACAGACACAATAAATATGCTTACAATTTTTGCTGGTTTCCAACGAGCACTAGGAGGGGGAGAAAGAGCAATACCCATTTTTGGTCTCTTCTGCAAAACAAAGGACCGAGTTCCGACCATATTGTTGGGCGTATGAATGCTTGAGTGGTTACCCATTTGATTTATAACACAGTTAAAAACATTATTTCTGTTTGTAACAAATACAAACGATACAAACACTCTTCAACATCGCCAATCCTAATTTGTAAATGACTCACAAAGGAGCCGCCAGTAACCTTCCAAACAATAAATGGTTAGTACAAACAAAAAGGCCTACAGAGCAAACTTTAGGCCTTAAACTAGCATTGCCGGTACGACCTTTTCTGTGATTTTGTCGTAATATGTTGCACAATTTTTGATTATGCGTTTTAATTATTTCTTCACTATGACTACTAATACGGTAAATATCAGAAAACGTATAGTGGTCTGATAGCTAGTCATTGCCTGATAGGCTTCCACATTTAGCTGCAAGAACTTTCAAAATTTTACTAAGTATTGGTTTATTATGCAACACTAAAAATATTTTCGTGTTAGATTGGAAAAAGTCACAAAATTTAATTTGAATGATAATTCTTTGAATGGGGCGTCTGATTTGCGGTCAAAAATTAATCGATTTTTCAATTTTTTTGCGGGTTAGTAAATATGATGCAAGCCAAGTCAGATAGCCTTCAAGTATGTCAATCTCATTGCTAAAATATCTCATAGTTTCTACCTTTACACTGTCATGTTATAATGTGATCATTTGGAAATTTATTCCGAACACATTAAACGAAATTGAAGAAGCCAAGCAAATTAAGTGAACATTTTTTGATTTGCATTGATAAAGCACTTAAACGTTTCAAATTTTTTCAACATTTTGAACAAGTGAGAGGCACACTTTTTCTGTGTAATAGATTATGACCATGACGTAAATGATAATCAGAATAGTGTATGAAAATAATACACTGGAAATCAAGCAATTGAAATGAGGAACAATATTTCGTGGCGGGTCACTACATGTGTTAAATCTGTCAAGCACATGTGACAACTTATTTTAGAAATAGGCATTAGCTTAGAGCAATTTACATATGGTTAAATCAAGGTGAAAAAAATATTTAATGATAAATAATCAAAAAATTGTTATTTTTATTCGTCATTAATCAAAAGGGATTAAAATTGCAGAACAAAATTTGAAAATTCACTCTGTGAACAGATGAAAGAAATCCAATTTTGTTCACTTAAGTTTGTTAAAAGGGCAAAGAAATGGAATTTAATAAGTGAGCCTATATTTACTTGGACTTTGTAAATGTTTTTTTAATCTTTTAGGTGTCATGGACAATTTAGACCTTTCAAATTACATTAATAAATTTCTGAAATTAAATAATAAAGACAAACTTATTATTGTTTTAGGGATACTGGAATTTGTTTAAGTTGCATTGTTTAAAAGTTTTGAAAACATCTCTTGTTAAGTTGAATCAATAGCACTTGAGTACTTTCGTTTAAATTCGCACAGCCGCGGCTTCTCTAAAAATTAACGGTCTAATTATAGAGGGTAGTTCTGGTTTTTTTGTCGTTTGTTGGGCCTAATCTAGTTATTTATTTAGTATTAAGTTGCATTTTAGTATTAATTGATGACTTACTTTCGTACATTTTGTGTGTTTATTAGTTGTTTTAACATTTTGGGTTTTCCGTCACTGGATTTGCTCAAGTAGTCAGAACTTACGGTAATCAGAGACATCTGGACTTATTAGCGCCCAGCCTTTTTGGTTTTTCACGCTTGTCTAGTTGGCTGTTGTGATTGCGTGGTTTGTTTTTCATGGACTTGAGTCCGGGACTTCAGATTTATCTTTTGTTTAACTCTCTGCATTTGAAGTTGCGGCTGTTAGTAATGGTAGTGGGTCAGAATTTGATCAGGAAAAAATATTCTTGTATTGGTGTCCAACCTTATCCACCTTCATCCTCCTGACCGCTGTCATTTGACTAGAAAACGTTTCATCTTGACGGGTTGATTTAAAGTTGCTACTTTGCTTTATTGTACCATCATTAAGTTGTCTGAATTTTTTATGTTTGGTCGTAGATCAAGAAATGACGGATCAGGAGGAAGAGAGTCTCTTCCCAATCGCTATTCTCATTGACGAATTAAAAAATGAGGATATATCAACTCGCCTAGCCAGTTTCAAGAAGCTCTCAACAATTGCTTTGGCACTTGAACCTGAACGAACACGCAATGAATTCATTCCTTTTCTAACTGAGTCAATTTATGACGAAGATGAAATTCTTTGTGAGCTCGCAGATCAGTTAGGCAAATTTGTCCCTTTGGTTGGCGGCCCGGAATACGTTTCCTGCTTGTTGCCGCCTTTGGAGGGCTTGGCCTCGACGGAAGAAACCGTAGTTCGACAGAAAGCTGTCGATACACTTAGACTCCTTGCAGGAAGCTTTTCAGACGAAGTATGTAATCGAAATAACCTGTTTTCTTAAGTGGAGCTTGAGTTATGTTTATTTTGTGCATCGTGACAGCGTCAAGCGGCCTGACTTCTAACATTATTTTATTTGTTCAAACTTCCGGCTTTTTGTAAATCATTTTTGGTGCATTGACATAGCATCAGGAATTAATCCTTTAGTTCACTGACGAGATCGACCCGGTAAAGTGGAGATGGGTCACCTGGTATGTGCGGATGTAAACTGATCGTTACGTGATTCTGCGATCATTTGGCTGCCTGAAGATTTCATTTTACGCTAAGCTTTATCAACCTTGTCTTCGGTTGTGTGCATTTCACAAAGCATACTGTTTACGTGATCTCTTAAACATCACTTGTAGGATCTGGAGGCTCATTTTCTACCAATGATAGAGCGCCTTGCGACTGGTGAATGGTTTACTAGCCGTATATCTGCCTGCGGTCTCTATCCAGCAGTGTACAGGCGTGCATCACCGAGGACTGCTGCAGATCTGCGAAATCAGTTCCGTCAGCTGTGTAACGATGACACCCCTATGGTGCGTCGCTCCGCGGCCATCAACCTCGGGGAGATGGCCTCCTGTCTAGATCTGAACACACTTCGATCTGAGTTCCTCCCCGTTCTTACTAACATAATACAGGTCAGTATATTTTTCGTGTAATATAGTGCGATTTGTGAGACTCCTTCAATCTCCTTTTATGCTTCGGAGCTCAGTTTGTAGTTGTGGTCTGGTTGACTTCAACTTTAGGTGATTCAGTCGCTTCACAATTTCGTGCTGTCCCCTAGGTAATGACTTTGCTTATACTGAGTCTACCATATTTGGGAATATTAACAACAAAAAATGTCATATTACTTATTGTGTGCTTCTTTTTTTTCATTGTAGACAGACGACCAAGATTCGGTCCGTCTTTTAGCCATCAATGCCTGTGTGGCCTTTGCTGAGGCTCTGCCTACCGAAGATACCCAAAAGTCCCTTATGCCCTTGGTGCGTGAGGCTGCGCAGGATAAGTCCTGGCGGGTTCGTTACCAACTTGCCGATCGTCTAACAGATCTCCAATCGGCCGTGGGTCCAGTCGTCACTAACGACTTTCTTGTGGACGTATACCAGGTTTGTGTTTTATCCTTCCTTTCATGCTTTATATAGACAAGTGTTTGACTTTTTGAGCGTTTAGGTAGCAATTTTTTGCCATTTTATTTGACATTATTCCCTGAATGAAATTGTTTTTAGTTTGAAGTGTAATCCGTAATTCTAGTTGGGTCCAGAATACTTCTAATCTAACTAGTTTCTAAACTTAAGAAAACTGGAAACTGTCGTTAGGGGCTGATTGTTACGTTTCCTTCAAGTAACCTTATGAATGAGTCAGAGCATCTTCAGTTCTGATCGCCATTCCTTCTTACGACATTCGTCCACCTACGTATGCTAACAACCTTGTGCAATTGTGCAGAGGTTGGCGCACATGCGTGTCCGTTCACTTTGAATTCTCTGTGATTTTCATAGCTCGTGCCTACGCATCTTAGTCCCCTGATTTATCGTAATTTCTAACAGCCGATAAGTTGTCAACTTTCTTTTGTAATCGTATACTGAAGAGATCTCAGTCAGGAAGCCCTGTGTCGGAATGGCACCGTTGGTGAGGGCTTTTAGGGATAGTGCAATAGGCGTCGTTATTATGACCGACAAACAGCAGATTGGTGCCCTGTTTGTTGCCTTTAATTGGCACATTCCGGAAAAAATGAATAGGTTGTTCACTGGAGTTAATGTGTGTGAATTGGTGAATTGGTTCAGTGGTATTTTACATGCACTCGTGTTATGATTCGGTCTTCTTATCCCACCTGCTTTTCCTAGCTAAGGGAACTGTTCTGCATCTCGGCTTTTCTGTTTCAAGCACGAGTTAGCATGTGAATCCGTCTTTGTGTCACCGCAGATTTTTATGCGGCCGTGTTGTGATCTTGCAAAACGACGAACTGAATAAAATTCGCGCCTGATTTGAGCACAGTTTGTAAACGTAGAACTGAACGCGTATGTTTCTGAAGGAACTAGATGTTAATTTCCAAATCAGACCTGTAAATATATTTCACAATTACACCGAGTTCAGTTGTTTTTTGGGTACACCGAAGCGTTTCACAATGGGTATTCGTGACCTACCAATCCATGGTCACTCCTGTTTATCTTCACTTTATAGTTGCCATGGTAGGATTCAAAATGGCCATATTCGTTTTCTACTTTTGCTCCTGTGAACAAAACTATTGTGATTTTGGCACCTCCATGCTTCTAATTTTTACCCAGTCGTGACTATCACAGTCCGGGTTTTCTCCCAGTTTTTCTACCACATGATTAAGAATACCAGCTGACAGGACGCGTTGTGTGCGCGTGGGCGTGTGTCGGTCTGGTTACTCTCCCGCGTGTTTCATTTGAAGAAATAATTCCCTCTATTCTCTTGTCCACAAAATTTACAGAAAATTTAAAAATATTATTCTCCCGTTTTTTTCTCGAAGATTCTTCTCAAGGACGCCGAAGGCGAAGTTAGAGCTGCCGCCGCGAGCAAGCTGAAGGTCTTTGCCACTGCACTCTCTCCGGCTGAGACCCGCGAGTCGATTATCATGAAGACTTTGCTACCAATCATTCGGGAAATGGTCAGTGAGACCAACATGCAGGTCAAGACGGCCTTGGCCGGCGTGATCATGGCTCTCGCGCCTCTTCTTGGAAAGGATAATACAATCGAGCACCTACTTCCAATGTTCTTGGTCCAATTGAAGGATGAAAATCCAGATGTAAGCTTGTTTCCCAATTTCTTATCTTTTTAAATTTTTCTTATTTCAGAAGTACCTGTCCATTATTCGCACGTGGGCTTTTTCTTAAACACACTTTTAAGAAGTGTACTCATCGGACCAGACATAATTTTTGAAGCCAATTATATTGTTTTGCTTGTGTAATTGGATTCTGTTGCTTTTGGTGTATTTTTGCATCCTGTTTAAACGATCAGCGTTCCTTGTAACTGCATATATATCATGTCTATGAACTCTCCACACTCCCACTTATCGTCTCCTCGTGCCATGGATACTCCATTTATGCAACATTTAGGCATGCCTTTGGCACTTTTCATACCTACCACAAAACCTATTGCTACAGCTGCCGATGTTAGTCTCAAAGGTCATTGATTTGGCACTTATTGTGCGCATGTGCTCACGCCTGTTGACAGTTCTCCTTCGACAAGGCACTTTTCAATTGAGCTCACGTAAGCTCTTCTCCCTGTTGCGTCAAATATCCGTAAAATGTTTGACGTTGCATTTCTGATTAACAGACGCTTTCGAGTTTTTGATGTGGTCTGTAGGGTACGAAGGGAACCCACTTGTTTGCATCAGATCCACCCTTGGTGTTAAACTTATCGCCATTTGTCGCCCCTTTGATTAACAGATTTCCTAGGTGTGCAACGTCAATTAACTGCAGTAACATTGTAACTGCTCTAAACGAAAGGTAATTTTTTTCCCTTTTGAACCGCGTCGCATCCACAAGCTTGTGTGTATTTTAACTCCGTCCTCCGCGTCTTATAGTCTGTTGGTCTCTGTTTTGTCACCTCCATTCCATGATGGCGCCTGAAAAGGTGCCAAAGTATTGATTACCCAAGGTGTAGGGTGATAATTTTCTTAAAAGAACGCTTGATTTTAACGGTTTAACCGAGATCGGTCCACGAAACCCCCTCTGGTGGGCGCAGTCTCAACAATGCGTTGAAAAAGGAACGCTTTATAAACGACGTAACGTGTAAAGACGCCTTTTCCATAGCCGACTGTTATGGCAGGTCGTGGGGTTTTATCCACACCCTGTGGTATGCGCTTATGCAATCGGCCTTTATTAGTGATCATTGAAAATTACACTTTTTGGGGCAAGACAATTCGTTTATCCTGGCAGTCGGCTCGGCTTCCCAATATCGCCTTCCTCTTATCGCAATCAACGTCTGCTCAGTGAACCTCGTGCTTAATGTCATTGATCTCTACTTTGTTGTCGCTGCACAAAGCTTACATATGTCCTGGCTAGATTTGTAAGATCATCCGTCAAGTATGTAGGTAGTTTTTAGAGGGGAAGGAACTGGGTACCACTTATGCTGCATGCATCCTTGGAAGCGCAGTTTGAATCCATCGAAAATAAAGCCCCTTTCAGGCCTTCATTTGGTAACACCCATTTTACATTGTAATCCATTTCTACGAATTGGGCAACTCTAACGAGTCACCTCGAATCCCAAATCTCCGCAAACCTGTTTGATTACTTGTAGGTCCGACTGAACATTATTTCAAATTTGGAATGTGTGAATCAGGTCATGGGTATCACTCAGCTTAGTCAATCACTCCTTCCGGCTATTGTGGAGTTGGCGGAGGACTCGAAGTGGCGAGTGCGCCTTGCCATAATTGAGTACATGCCTCTACTTGCGAGTCAACTGGGAATCCAGTGTTTCAATGAGCAACTCACAAATCTGTCCCTTAACTGGCTCGTAGACAACGTCTACGCCGTCCGTGAGGCTGCCGTCGCCAACCTCCGAAACCTCATGGACAAATTCGGCATTGAGTGGGCCAATAGCCAGGTTGTGCCCAAGGTAAGGTTCCTTGAGTGCGAAACAAAGTAATGTTTCTCGTGATTGGTCAAGCGCACAGATAGTTTTAGTGGGTGTATGAGCTTTTGTTCGTCACTTGTCCATAGCTACTGTGGTGCAGAGTATTCGGTACACGCTCACAATCACCTTATGCTTTCCAAGTCGCTAACGTCGTTAAACTTTGGGCGTTTCCTTTTCAGCTCATCCAGTTGGCTCACGATCCGAACTACCTCCACCGGATGATATGTCTAGCGGCGTTGCGTGAGCTCGGCCTAGCTGACGTCTGCCATTCCGAGATGCTTCCCAAAAGCCTCTTGCCGACCATCACCCAGCTCAGTGCCGACGCTGTTCCTAATGTTAGATTTAAAGTACGTTACCTTATTTTGCTTGATCCGACCCGTGTTTTATTTGAGATTCCGACGGCTTACCTTTTATAAGGTCTATTTCTAATCCAGAGAGTCGGGTGAGCTTCAAAACAGGTCGTGTTTTTAAAATTGCACTTTTCCTCAACTACTGTCACCGCAGGTGGTATTTAAGACACCCTCTAATCCAGGAGGCCTGCTCTAATTAGACAGTGGACTTTAGCATGACCGGTATTTTACACTGTGTATTGTGAGTGCTGTTATTTAAATTATCGCTCATGTGTGTTTTCAGGTTGCTCAAGTCCTAGGGAAGCTCGGCCCTTTCCTAGACACTAGCGCAATGCAGAATTACGTAAAGCCTACTCTTGAGAAGTTGGGTGCTGACCCAGACACAGATGTCATTTTCTACGCCAAGGAAGCCTACGAATCTCTCGCCATTGCCGCGCGATGATAGGTTGCGAGGCCTGAGGTCGTTGCATGCCTTCTCGCGCCTCCACCTTTCTCAAGATTTCCGCCGTCGATGCCGCCGAAACCTCACTGTCGTCGTCGCTTTCCCATTTCTTGTCAACCTCAAACAGACCGCTCTTTTCTCACTCCCACACCCAGTGCTTGGATATTTATACACTACCGTGTTTGTGTATGCGTACGTCCGCGCGCATTTAGGATTTGTTTTTGCTTCTGCTCCGGACCTTTCACTTGAATTTTTTACAGAGTAGAATGTGCGCGTCCCACGTATATATATAAATCTATCTATCTAAATATGTATTAAACAAATCTGTAAATCCCCCTGCCGTTGCCCAAGCCCAACGTTCTTTCATAGCCGAACTCGCTTTATCTTCGCACCCTCCTTCTCGGTCTCGAACGGCCTCTTCGTCGGTTGATGTTGATAAGAATAGTGACGACAGTTGTACTTGGCTTGTGTACGGGGCCTTGTGGTTTGACCTGGTAAAATATCTCAACCCAAAGTAGGCTGATGTGTAATTGAGAGTGCATAAGCGCCCAATTGGTGCCTGTGCCGTATGTGTCTAAAGCACTTGAAGCTACTATTTATGGTGCCCCAGCTTGCCAATTTAGTGAAGTTGCGATAAACAGGCTCTTAGGATATAGCTATTTCAAAATCAGCGTATTGGTGTGGGACATGGGTTGGGATGGCAGTAAATTATCCATACTTGCGGATTTACGATGCCTTGTATCGGCAACGGTTACTCTAAGACCTCTCGCACCGTCACTTTTATCGCCAACAGACACGTAACCTGAATGACGAGCCTGGGCCGGTTTTTCTGTCCTTTTTGTTGATTAGTTTTCTTTGACATGTAAGAGCCAGAAGAGTGGACGGTATCTGGCGTCGATATTATTTGAGTTCATGCCAAAAGTCAACGACTGTTGGGTGGTAAGCTGAAGTTAATTGGACAAAGGGGTTTTGAAATCATCTTGTGCTAGCAGTGGTCACGTCGGACATAATTTCCAGGGTGGGTCATGCTTTGGTGGTGCTTCTTCCTTCCATTACATGTGCAACTTTGGCGGCCGGAAATCGTCTGTTTCGCAAAAGATAAACTGGTGGGTGTGGTTGGTCGAAACTGCGACTGAGAAGCGTTTCCTGCGTCTGCAGTGTCTTGCAGAATTAGAGGGCCTCGAACTCGTCTATCCGACGCCTTGTGTTTCCGCGACGGATTTTGCGGATGGTGTCGAATTTGTCCTCGCATTGTTCACACGGCTGACTATCGTGACCTTGGTTCGTTCGCTGCATGGTTTGCATTTCCTGGTGCAGCTCCTGCAGCTTAGCTCGAAGATGGGGGTCGCGGCTGATCACTGACCTTCGGAGCTCCTCTGAACGCAGACTTGGCACCACGGCTGGGGCAAATTCAACAGCTGAAATGAACGAAAAATGTGTGCCTTATCGCACCGTTGTGTATGAAACCAAGTCGTGCACTAACCCACTCAACGCTGATCAAGTCTCGTTCTTGACTACATGGCTGAACTGAGATCTGTTTGTAAATTTGAAAGAAGCGTAGGATTTGGAACAGTAAATGATTGCTTGAAGGCCTCTCAGCTGGACTTTAGCGAGTTAATTAGTTTGGGAGCTCACTTCACACACTATATCTGAACACGTTAAGTGCGTACAAGCGAGCAAGTCGGCTCCATCACAATTAGGGCAAACGATTTGAATGAACACATTAACACTCCAACAAGATGTTTCCTAAACTTTTCACATTAAAATAGCTGTTCAACAGAAACAACCTGTTGCTCTTATTGTTTAAATGTGCATCACGCGAATGGAAGATTGAGAATTGGGCGTGAGCTCATTACCCTGAGTGGATTTGTAGCACCAAATAAACGCTGTTAGCTGTTGAACCAGTTGCCACCTATATGTTAACTCGTACCCTCGTTTAAAGGCACACGAATGGGCTCTACGTCGTGGCTTGAGACATTGGTGTCGAGCCACGACAACCCCAACAGTTCTAACGCCGTGGGCTTCTCATCCGGCGGCTCAGAGCTGTTGTTTCCAACGACTTCCAGAGCTTGCCTTGGGAGCCGTCTGGTATTAGATGAAGAGGGATGAACCGCCTGGTCACCAGGAAAACCCTGCTTAGTTGTCTCTGTGCCCGCTTGCTTGTGTGCGTCCAAAAGCGTGTGTGGAGGCAATGGGGAGGACTGTCGTCGTGGTCTCGACCTCCAACCGGCGTCCTTTTTGCGCTTCACGTGCGATGCCTTCCGAACTGAGGAGGAAGACGACGATGAGGAGGAGGTGGCGGGAGGTGTTTGGATTCTGGGCGGAGAACTTCGGCGTCGAGCAGGTTGAGGCATGGTCTCACGCGATTCCGTTGAATGGTCGTCCAAAGAGGTTGTTTGGTCGACAGCTTGAAAAGCGGAGCTCGTCATGGCTCTTGGATTTCCATTTATGCCAACCGTTTTCTGACACAGGACATGCAACCAAAGGGGTTGTTAAAAATGGTTTCAGCGCTCTTGGTTAAAGCGAACACATTAAAAATGGACAATGAGTAAATTTTCTAGGCACACAAAGACAGCTTTTTGAGCCGTCGATTCATTTCTGACACAAACTGAATGGATTCTAAACAAAAATAAACGAAACATAGTCGACTTTGATGTTCTCAACATCCCTTGAAATAGGTGTTTAGTTGATGCATTCGTTAACCGATGCTTTTCCCCCTACTTTGAGTTCATTTTCATTAAACTATCACGTACTACTTAAAGCTGATATCAGTACGTCTTTTTTAGAACCCGTGTAAATAAATAAAGGCATATTGACGTCAGACTATCCCTTGCATTATCATTGGGGCAGTTCACGGTGGTTCACCACGTAAACTAAATCATACCACGCGCTGCTTCCCCCGTCTACATCGGACTTGCTTGTTTTCTTTTCAAGAACGCAGGTCGGGATTAGATTAATGGCTGGAGTGAACAAAGGCGCATTTGACAGCGGATCGACTTTGCTACACGCTAGGCCTAGGAACTGAAAATTGGGGGATTCATAGCACGCGCTAGAACCTTTCCTTAGCTTTGCGGCTGGGTTGTTCAAGAGGTCAGCATTTATTTGTACATAAATAAAATTTTGGAAAAAAAATCATTCCTTTTCCTTGTCAATCACCCCCGTTATTAGGCTACGTGCCTAAGCGATCGTTGCATTGAAGCCGACTTCAGTAGAACCCGCAATATTATACTTTGGAAATCGTTTAATTGAATTGCACAACTTCGGGTGACGTGTAGAACACGTCGTGTCACGTCCAGCCAGTGCTGGCGGTCTTTTCAAGCGAACAAACCGGACCGGCAACTCACGTTGGCTTCGGGCCCGGAGACGAGAAGGGACGGCAGGGCTTCGTGCTTGAGAGCGCCGTTGTGGGCGGAGGTTCGTCGATTGGAGGAGCGCAGAGGCGACGCGGGGCCGCTTTCTGTCCCCAAAAGACGCATCTGGGCTTGCTCCAGCAGCGCCTCCAGTTCGCGCACTCGGCGCTCCGCCTCGATTCGAGCCGCTCGCTCCTTCTCAAGGCGTTCACTGAGGAAGCAGATTGTACTGCGTAATCACTTTAAGCATTTGGGCACTTTGCGACAGCAGGTACACTAGGGCCATCGCTTGATAGCGGAAATCTGTGCAAGCACAAGATTTATCTCCACTATTGTAAACTGCTTGTGTTTGTGTATTTTATGTGCAGGATTTGATTGTACACTTACGCACGACGACGCCAAAGCCTTACTTTTAATACGCGGACCAGCTTGAAAGCCTATCTTCAGCAGTCACATAAATGGAACTGCCACATGTTAACCTCTGGCTGTTTTAGTACCATCTTGGTCCTACCACTAAGTGTTTGAATGCAACCACAACTGTAACACTGCAAAAGGCAACCTTCAATTCGCGAGCCTACTTCATGAGGGTAATTTGACAAATTCAATTCTGGTGTCTCAACAACTGTGCAAGTGAATGACCTACCAAATCGACACGGGAATACTGAGCGTTTACATGGGCGATGCAGCATTTGCCGAGAACGAAACAGAGTCTACCACACATTAGCCTTATCCGACCGCGACCGTCCCTAATTTCCAGTCTAATTAACCCACAAGGCAGCATTTTGGTTGAATTTTTGAATGAGTTAACAACAACAACAACAGTTGATGAATACCCTGGCAGTGTAATAGCTGTTTCTTTGTTTGCTAAATTTCACTACCAGAAATTAATGATTGCCGGAAATCGGCTCGTGGCATAAGGTTATGTATTCACTGTGTAGTCTGTCACAAACGTTCACTTCCAGCCAAATACGTGGTTGATTCAGCGAAAAATTAGTTCCGCGGGCAACCATCTAGTGTACTGCTTTCAGTTATTAACTTTGACCTCTTGAACGCATGTGATGATTGGTTTAAGTACTTCAAGTACACTTTCCTGTCGCTCACACTAATTTTTATGCAAATGTCTGGTGAAAACAACTGGTTGAGCCCCCCGCTCGGATACAGTGCCCATGAGGGACGACCACTTAGGCCCGAATGTCAGGCACGCCCAGTGCATTACCGGATTTGTTGAGAGGGAAAAAGCAGTTTTCCTCTGCTGCAGTCCAGTGCAGTGGTTCCAGCTTGCAATGAGGCAATTTCTGCAAAATAACGTGACTCAAGTGCATATTAGATTTGTGAGCACATCGAAAAAAGTCGTGCAGTTGCCATAAAATCACAGACAAGGTTAATTTATCGGTTGCAACATTAAGCCAGTGATAAGGCACTTTCTAGCTTATTTGCATTGAACTTCTTCTGAAAATTGGGAATTCATAATGAAAAAAGGAGAATTGTTCATTTGAAAACAAAACATTAGTCAAATTATGGAAGCCACACAAAACACTTTGACTCACCGCTCTAATTCTCGATAGAGGGTTTCCTCGTGAGCCTGTGAACGCATTTGCTGCATTTCAATGGATTCAGGTAGACGTCGTCGCACGTAGAGCTCGTTGTTTCCAATGCAGAGAGCTAGAATCTTTTTATTCGACTTGAGGTTTTTAGTGTAGAAGACTAGATCCTATTAGAGAGAAAAAACGCCGCAGGTAGTTATTAATACAGCCACTTAAATACTGAGAGATAAGGACACGTCCAAAGTATTCTTGTCATTTACTGGGCCCAACAGTAGGCAAAGTAGGCATAAGTGCAATTATGAAAATAGGAGAATTGCTGAAAATAAAACGGACGTAAAAATTCAAACAAGAGACAAGAATAGGTCAGGCTTGTGTATGTTGCTGTATGAGACGCTCTTGAGGGTGTGAGTGCAAGGTCAGCGATTACCGCTGGTGCATTCGACGGTACTGTTACATGTGCGGCCTATGTGGTTGAAGATGACTATCGCATTACACTTGCACGGTTTGGCATTGGCCACCTTACCACAATAAATTCACAGCTGGGCGCGCTTAAAAGCATTGAATTACGTTCTACATCGTCATATTTTCGCAAGTTGCCT